ACCTAGTAGCGATGGCCTCCAACCTAGTAGCCATGGCCTCCAACCTAATAGCCATGGCCTCCAACCTAATAGCCATGGCCTCCAACCTCATATAGCAATGGCCTCCAACCCAAAAGGATTGTCACTCTGCAGGTGCTAAACTGCGGCTCCTGGGGGGAGTACGCAAACACCCGCCGCCGTGTTCATGGTGAACTCCAAGAGCGGGGCCCCGCCTGGACGGGCACACTGCGCACCGACGAGTGCACCAAGGGCGAAGCCGCAGAGCCGCTCACCGCAGTGAACAACGGGGAGAAGCCGCGGGTATGTGTAGAGCGAAAGGCATTTTAACATGCTCAAAACCCTGAAGGATGTGCCAGCTTAGAGAGAAAATCTGCCGGTGGCGTTTTTCACTGTTTTTGTCCAAAGTGTTGGGTCTTGTAGGTGTGGCCTGCCGCACGAACATGTTGAATTGGCTGTCATGTTTGAAGGCTTTGGATCCAATGTTCAGAACATCCAAAACAATTTAGATAGATTAAGATCAAATCAGCGTGTATCAGGAAAGAGTTTGCAGCGTGCTACTGGTTTGTCAAACCTTGGTCATGAAGGAGTAGATTTGGGGATGGCATGCACAGATACATGCTTGGAGGCTGGCAGAATCCTTAGGAAAACTTGGGGGAATATGCTAGACATCAGCATCATTGGTTCCTGAATCAACTTCACAAGGGTGTGTTTGCAGAAAATGTGAGGAAGCGTGAGTCTTTACAGGGGGTGGTGGAAGGATGCGGAGGTGAGTTCATTTGTCATTTGCCAGCCCCTGGCGGCCCTGGCACCTCCGATCCAAGATTCAAGGTGGTTCAAGAGCGAAGAGTATCCCAGCGGAGTCAATGAGTATCCTCGGCTGATGTGAAAATCACGGGGTTCGGGTGAGTATGGGACAAAAGCTGGCTGTCCCTTGTTCGATGGTATGCGTTTGACTTCATTCAAGTAGTCTTGACACCTACTGGAGCTTGGCCTGTCGTTGACTCAAGCTCAGCTGACTGGTAGGTCTGCTAGGTTCTTTGGGTTCAGACAAAGGATGAAAAAGATCCAGTTAATATAAAGTGATGTTGTGGTTTCCGGGCAGAACGGAGGTGCACAGGCACGAGGTAAAGCACCTGGCGGCCTTCGAGCCTTAAAGTTCATGCTACCGCCGAGTATTGGGTTGCCAAGTTCTGTTTGATGAAGTTTCCTGGGTAAGCTTTGTACCAAGCTCGTGCCAGGTGGTCGTTTGGAGTCCGAGCTTCCAACCAAGTTAAGATCTAAAGCTCCTGAACGCCCTTTGCTGCTCTCCTTCGTGCTTGGGGGAAGTTGAACCAAAGGTCTCCTTCTGAGCTCGCGAGGCATTGGCTGTATCATGGCACCTCCCAAGAAGGTGAAACTGGCATCACCGAAGGAGATTTCAGATTGAATCTCGCTGGAAGCAATGCCGGCACCCTGTATGGTGTGGGGCTTAGCATGATGAGGACAAGATCACATTTGCTGGTGCCTTCCTTGGTTCCAAGGTGTTTTTTCCTGTCAAAAGGAGTAGGTTTGTGAGCAGAACGTGGGTGACCACAATTTGCGGGTGTTGGGTACGACTGAACTCCTCGCGGTGTTGGTTGGTCTTCACCTCCCTGGAATTTGTGTTCTCTAAAGCAGCTCGTGTGGCCCAGTGGGCCGCTGGGTGAACATTAATGGCGAACGAAGAAAACATAAGAGGGGGATTTGAACTATTCGTGATTGTTTCGCTATTGAAATCCATGTTTTTTTCATAATCTTAGTGATCTGGCTGGTCAATGATAGGGTAACGAGGAAGACACTAACAACCTTGAATAATGGCAGAAAACCTAGGTCTCCTAGGTTACACGGACAACTGCTTAGAGGGACTTTGTGTGGCTAACGCTTATGGAAGTTTGAGGCAACAATTGGGCTTTGAGCCCCTCAGACATCCCGGACTACCATGCTCAATGAGTGTGCGATCCCAGAAAATGAGTGGCTTCAAACCTGCAACACACTCCATGATCGCAAATTGCGTCGAGGTCCCGCGCGCCTAACACAACCACGAGCCAATTTGTTGTGGGCGCTTGCACGCAGCCAAAAACGTACATCACAGCGCCCAGGGAGGGACCAGGAGGGAATCGAGCCGGAGGCACAATCCTGCGCGTCTCGCCTTTTCCGAGGAAAGAACAACGTGGCAGTCCGCAAGCAATAAGAACGTACACTATCCTACACTTATGTTGTCATTGCTTTTGCATTCGAGGTGCAAATGTGTTGTAAAGCGACCGCAGACCGACATCCCTCCAGTGTTTACCGGACTCCCTGTCTGTCAGGAACACACAAAGGGCCCGTTCCGCTTAAATCCGCTCACCGGCGGATTTGCCTAGACCGGGGTTGGCAGATTTATAGGATGTGCTTCGCATCCATGTGAAAGTGTCCAGCATGTTCCAGCTGGCACTGTACGGCATTCCCAGGCAATGGAGTCTATTTGGCAGAGGTCTGGCTGCCTGTCGTTTACAGGGAGCAAGAGTGGAAAGTAACCTGGAGACGGCAAGGTTTGTTCCGTTAGGGGTATTGATCATCATTTCACATTGTTCGGAGCCAAGTAACCAAACATGCTTGCTTTGTTTGCGGATTGTGCAGAAGTTCAAGGAAGGAAAAACTGTGCACGTGATGCTGACAATCCATCAGCAATTGTTACATCATGTTACACTTCAAAGGCTTGATCGGCCACCTTCAGAATTGACATGACCTTTGCAGTGCAGTGCAGTGCAGTTATAATGCGATGGGTGTTGGATGGTTTTGGGCTTGATCCTCCCTTGTCATTGTTGCAAACCAGTTTGGCAGTGTATGAAGAAAATATAAGCTGTCTAGTGGTCTCATGGTCTAGATTTGCTTGACAGTTGCAGTGCTTTGCAGGCAGTTTCGAAGAGCGATGAATACACTACTCCTCACGGTTCCAATGATCTTCGCACGATCCTGTTGTGTCTCTCATGTTTGGGGCGAATCAACTACAATGACGAGCGCCGGCCGGATGGCGACGAGCTGGCGGCTTCTTGTCAAGGTGGTGGGTATCATAGCATTTTAGGAGATCGGGAGAAGATCCGCGGGACCTACCGCGAGATCATCGTTTTTGATGAGAACTTGATCTATCCAGGATACATTTGTCGCTACAGGCGCATTGACTAATTGTAGATATGTTGTAGATAGTGTGTTGTTGGCAGATGTTTACAAGTGGGCTTGCAACGTGAATTGACTGAGTCAATCTCACAGCCTATCCCTGAACATGCTCCAAAGACTGGAGGATGGTGTGGTAACTCTATCCTTTCTCGGGACCTGTCGGATTTTTGTGGTCCATAAAGTATATGAAAGGTGGAAGTGTCAAACAATTTGCCCTTGTCAAGGGACCAAAGGCGTCCCATGAGTGGTGTATTTGCCAATGGCGAAAGAAAAATTGCACGCACCTCCCGATGCGTCCCATGCGGTCTATCCTACTCACCAACTCCATGTCACTTGCAGTGAATCCATAATAGATCATGAGATCATATTTTGCGTTTATATAAGTGATTCAATTTGGTTTTCACTCTTCGACACATACCTGCTGAAAGGCAGCAGACGCAGCCTTTCCCTGCTACAAAGAGCATTACCGCCGGCCAAACAGAAAATACACATGGTTGGTGGTCTCCCCTCTTTAATTCACCCCTCTTACGCCTGTTGCTATTGGTTTCACTAGAATGTGACGGAAAAGGTTCATGCTCATGTCGAGGCCTGGAGAAGAAGAGCAAAATTACAGATAATTACTGACTTGGAATAGTTCAGGTATCTAGCTGTGCGGCATTGCCACCAAGGAGCGCAATACGTTGTCCAACCAGAATACGTCTAAAGTGTTCAAGTCTATGTGCGAGTTGGAATTCCAGTAGAGAGGAAAGATTTGTCACACTTCTCCAAGGGATTTGGATTTGGACGATATACCAATCCTTAGGAAATTATTTGGAGGTGGGAGTCACTTAGTGAAATATGTGTTTCCAAATCATTAACTAAAAGTACTATTTGGCAAGCCATGTAGGTGGTGGTACCAAAATAATTTTCACTGAAACAGTCTAGGTGGTGCAAAATAGTTTTCATATGGTAGATATTATTTCTAAATAATTTTGAGTCTATGACCACCCACCTGTACAATATTAGTTATTTAGAAATAATTTTGCGTATATGAGGACCCACCTGTCTGGCTGACAGAGCAGCAGCTTGCAAACAAGCACCTCAGAGTTGCAGCCTCTGGGCACAATGCTTTGTGGGTTTACTGCTAGATCAAAGCTAGAAAGAAAAGAACTGTTTCATAAACATGGCGAGGCACACTTGGTCCAATGCGTTGGAAGGCATCGAATCAAAGTCCACAGGCTGAGAATGTTTGCGAGTCGAGGACACCTGCCATCTCAATAGGAGGAAATTGGAGAAATTGAGGAAAAGGAAGATACTTTTATCCAAAAAACATCTACAGATAGTGAAACAGGGAGAAAGGTGGAAGAAAAGGAACATGGCCACCAAATCCAATAGAACTAAATTATTTGAGGAGGTGGGTGACTACACAACCACCCATTAAATGGCGCCAACGGGAGAAAAAGGTGGAAAGGACAGAACAAACAGCAAGGAAACAGTGAAGAGGAAAAGAGATTGGAAAAAATGATCAAATCCGCTGGGTTTTTGAAGATTTGGTTAAAAATAGCCAGGAAGAACCGGCATAAACAAACATCAGCGGCTTAGGGGTTCGTGTTAGCCACGTAGAGTCGGAACGGTGGGACTATAGCAAGCAGCAGCAGCAGCAGCCCCAATAGTAAATTATTTGAAGGGTGGTTGACTACTCAACTACCCATTATGACACTGTCCGTGGTAACCCAAGCTGAGTCAACTTTGGTCAACTTTAGGGGGGTGGGTCCCACCTAGATGGTCTCATGCCGGATCTATGTTGGAAATGTTTTATGACATTCTTGAAATTATTTGTCAGGCCCTGAGAGTCCAGAATTCTATTATTTTGAGGTGGGTGGTACGGAGGGTGGGCCCAAGGAATGGTATATTTTGGACGCCTTTGGCTCAACAGAACAGAAAGAGACAGGACCAAGCCGCAGGAGGCAGATTTCCTGAAATCCCCAAGCAACAGAAATGAAGGCTTGCAGATTTTTTGCTCCACAATCTTTTGACGCGGTCATCAAGAGGGCACCACTTTAGATCCATAGAGCTTTAGATCCATGGCCCGCCATTTGAGAGTCCGCCAGAGTCTGGCAGTGGCCTGAAAGCACCCGGGTGGATGCATCGGCTTCGAAGACCCTTGCTGCTGTGCTGCACGGGCCTTTGGGTGAGCCTTTGGCCCTTGTGCCGTGGGCAACGCTTCACCTGTGAGACCGCCAGCTGCGCCAGACACGATGTTTGGGAGCCGGTGCCCTTTGCGAACTCCACAGAAGTTTGCCAAGATGCTCAGCTGAGAGCCTTAGATGAGTTTGTAAGCATCTTCCCTCAACAATGTCGTGAATGGGCTGCAGCAGGCATGGGTCCCTGGGGTGACTGTCGAAAGAAATACTGCGAAGTCTTGGGGCATCTGGCTGGGAATCTGTCACATCAAGGCAGCAACCTCTATTACGGAGGTGACGAATGTCGACCACTGGTCAACTTCAACCAAACGCTTTGTGAGCTTGGCTCTCCAAGAGTTGTTTGATTTTCTTTGGTTTTGGACGGTTGTACGTGTTTCCTCAGTTTCATGTAATTAATCAGTTTTGTCCGTGATCGAAACTGGACACCCAAACCCTTACATGTTGTGTTCACCTGTTTTCGGTTTGTGTTCTCCAAACCATTTCACCTCGCTCTGGCAACAAGGTGAAACCTCCTACCGGGATGCCGAAGGCTTCTGCGAGTGCCTTTGTCCGACCATGGGCCATCTCCAAATTCCAAGGGTTGGAGCCTGTGAGGAAAAGATCATGAAGTTCTTGTTCCTGGGACGTCGAGGCTGTCGAAGGGGAGGGGAGGATGAGGATGAGGCAACCTCAGCCAATCATGAGGCCTCTCAATTCGTGTGCCAAATGCAATGTGGGCACCAATTTCTCAAGTGAAAGATAAGTGCTACAGTAGTTACGTAGCGAGTTGCCAAAAGCACGCCCTACAGCATCAAGAGCCACAGATATGTAGGCTGGAGCCAAAATCACGTCCGTCCACCTTCTCTTCATCATCTTGTATATAAATGCCTCACATGTTTCAGTACACATGCTATAGCTGGAGCAATGAAAAAGAGTGGATCAACCGCTTCGCACTGAAAATCAGACTACGTCACAGGAGGCAGAAGATTGGCAAACCAGTTCTGTTGATGTTCCATGATGTTCCCATCGCATCCATTGGACCCAGTTCACGAGCCATTCCATGCAGCCTTGCAACGAAAGGAACATGAGAATCTCCCAGGAACGGCCCGAGAACAGGTCCGAAGAAGTGGCCTTTTCGAACGGGTTTCTCAGTAAGCCAGAAGTATGCCAGGCTATGAACTCAGCCAGAAGTATGCCCTGAGTGGCTACTGCTCGGACTTCATTTGCGAGTACTTCGGGAAGGTGGGCGAGCCCAATCCGCCATACCCGGTCGCGGGGATTCCTCCGATCTGCAAGACCTACGACTTGCCATGGCGCTTGTACAGCTGTTGCTTGGAGTTCATGGCTTGGGGCTGCAGGTCTGGGAGAGAGAAGACCGACCAGCGTGAAGTCAGCTTCCCCAACAAAGGCCAAGTTTCTTTGTGAAGGAGCTGGACTCCGCAAGAAATCTACTGTTCCTAAAGGGTTGGGTACTGTCCCTACCTCTAGGGAAGCGACAGCGAACAAAAAGATTTGATCTACTCTGTACGAGGCACCCACAGACTGACTCAAAACAATCGGCAGACTCAATGGAAGAATTGGAAGACTGACCCCATTCCAAGCTGCCACCAACTCCTCTTTGTATACTCCAGGATTTGAGACACACATGTATATACTGTATATATATATACACTGTGTACAGTCACTAGATTCTTTGGGGGGTTGCCGCTCAACTTGCTGCCTTTGCCAAGGCATCGAACTGCTTTCCAGGAAGAATTACACGCCAGAACCTTGGCTGACCCCCTATCCGGCAGACAGCATTCTAGAGTGCACCGATGCTACGACACATGAAGTGGACATTCGAAGCTTGGCAGACAGCAAAACAGATGTTCTTATGGTTTGTGGGGAAATTTTCCGAATTCAGATGCATTTGACTGTGCCTGTTTCTATGCCCACTGAAGCCTGGTGGGTCCTGAAATGAAGTGATTTCTTCACAACTCATGCCGTAGTAAATCCATCAAGTCCACTTAAATCCGCTGGTGTAGAAATCAGACAGTCACAGAAATCTAGAGATGTTTCGGATGTCCGGCTTCGCAGTTGTTCCTGGGCACGACTGTCGGTTTGAAAGGACATATCGACACCTGGGGCGTTTGTGGCAATCACAAATTTCGATGGCGATGCCCTCAAGGCTTCCCTATCATGTGTCGTGACCCCTATGGCTGCTCGGGCGATCATTGTCGCTTGGAGGATGTGGGATGCTTTGCAGTGCTTTGTTCCCCAGGAATATCCCAGATCTACATCAATCCAAAATGTGGAAGGTTGCTGTACTTGAATGAAAACGAACTTCCAAGATTCAGCCAGGCTTGGAAACAAATCCGGCGGAATCCACTTACCATCTCCAAAAGTTGTAGCAGCAAAAGTTAGCCCATATTTGCTTCTCCCAGAAGGTCTTGTTGCTTGAATATCTCAAATTGCCTGGTTGCAGCTGTTTTGTGGTTGTTCGCGCGTTCCTCGCATGCCAGGTTGCGAAGAAACGGTCGACATGTGTCCCCTGGGCGAACGGGTGGCCTCCACGTTTCTGGCCATTGAGCTGCCCGAGTGGAGGGGGCTTTGGCCACCGGACTGGATTGCAGCTTTAGGACCGGGCTATGAGCAAGTCCGTTGAACAAATCTTGTCTATATATATAATATATATATATATGTGTGTGTGCTATATATACACCTAGCATCCCCTGAAAACGAAGTGCTGCTTGCTTCTGACTGGGTGTTACTAGTGATACTTGATGTGAAGATGCGGCTTTGGATCATTGCATCCTGAAGAAAACATTCCAGGCAATTGGGGGCGAGTGTCGATTGGGGCGGGTTCTGCAGCCCAACTTGTTCAACTCTTGCTGTCGGGCTGTCGGGGGAACATATTATGACATATCTATACATAATAGCTACCTGTTCTAATCTTTCCTACTTTCCAGGGATCCTGCTGACTGATGCCGAGGCACCCACAAAGCTCCAAACATCTGATCAGTCAGAGTCTACCTCAGTCTTCCCGCAAGGCGTTTTGGTGTTGAACAGGTTCAAAGCAGAACATGGTCGCCTCGTTCCAGCTTCTTCAATCAGCTGACAACCAATTCACACAAAAATCAGAAAAGATGATAATGGATGGGCACAAACCGAAACAGGATGAGCAGGTCCATGCAAAAAGGGTTCCCTTTTCTTCCCTTTTGCGAGGGACTTAGATCCCTGCAGGACCGACCACGACCTTGGGCGCCTACGACAGGTTTAAGCAGAATCTCAGGACAACCACTGGAGGCCCCAGCTTCGCCCAACAAATTGCGGATTACGCTTGGGCAGGGACTGCGGTCCTAGTGGCTGGGACTCTCCAAGAGACTTTTCATGTCGAGACTTTTGGTATTTGTGACGTTTTGTGCTCGACTGGTTTTTACTAATGATCAAGAAGATGGATGATGTGTAGAAGGATTTTGACCCCGACAAGCTTAGCTCTCAGATGCGCATGTTCAAGGTGGCCATTGGGATGACCTGCTCATGTTTGGCTTGCTACTACATGGGTGTCATCAATACCACCTACGTGCGGAAGGTGGTGCTCGGCCCTGCCCGGCTCTTGAACGCCTACCAGGCAGATCCTGTGACCTTCTTCGCCTCTGGAAAGCTCCCGAGGGACAAGAAGCGAGAGGCGGCGCAGAGCGTGGGGTCCATGGGTGCGGAGTTGGAACGCTGGGGCGGGACTTGTGGGTTCCAGCTTGTTGCATTGATGAAGAAGCAGCACTGTTTGGAGTGAATTTGCGGAGTTTGCCAATTCCGGATGAAAGGTTGTGAAAAGGTTGATGAAGTGTCCAATTAAAAAACGGGACTCACACATGCTTGTACGAAGCAAGGTCCCAGCATCCCCGAGCTATCGGAAGAGCTCGTGTTGGGTTTGATTCATGTAGAAGTTGAAGGACATGTTGGCATCAAGGACACGAGGTCATGTTTGATTCAGAGTGCTGGCTAGTTGCTTGGGGGGTGTTCTGGATGGGACCATGGCCAACTGCGAGGCTCCGCTTCCACCCATGAGACCTGCGCATGAGATCGAAGAAGAACGAAAAGACAAGGAGACTGATCCAGAACTGGCATCTGGCAGAGGAAACTGGAAGTGTAGGGTAGATCTTCTTCGAAGAAAAGAACATAATGTCATGGATGTGCATTCCTTCCAAAGAAAATAGCTGCGCAATGTAGATCAATGTAATTAGTAGATATATTGCTCTAGATACACTTACACTTGTTTGCAAGCTATTTTATTGGAAGGCACACTAGACTTTAGAGAAGATCATGACATACATTAAATGTCGTTGGAGGCATTCTAGATACAATTGATCACCAGTGGAAGAGAAGATCACAGTGCGACAGGTCAAACGCGTTGAGGGGTTGAGGGGTCCAACGTTGGTCAAACGCGTTGCTCAAATGCTCCCGGAAGAAGTCCATCCATGTGAAAGCAAGCTCATCTCACATATTAGCATGCACTTCATGCCACTCCCAAACGAATATACCAACACACATGTGGGTTTGGAAGGACTGTGTTCTAACACCGTCTTTCGAGTTATAAGCCATGCGGTGGCAAAAGTGGTTTCTCAGATTTGCAAATGGCATCTTTTTTGACGAAAGATCCGCTGAAGATTCTATGATTGAACTGTTGACCTCCTTTGGAATATCGCACTTATACCGACAGGCACAAACACCTGGACAGGAACCTGACTCACGGTATGCAAGGCACCTGTAGGCATCTGCAAGGCACCTCATGGTATGTGGGGGACCGAGAAGACTAGGAGCCTACTGAAACATGGAGGTGGCGAAAGATAATTGAACCTTTTACGAAGAAAGGCCGTTCTCAGGAGCAGGAAATTAGGACGACCGGATTAATTTCCTCGTCCAGGTTCTTCCTATGCCAGATTGGGGGATGACAAGTAACATGAAACCGAGTTGCAGAAGTCGGCCAGCCTTCGATTCTAGCTCAAGATTCCATTCACTGGTGGGAATCCTCCATTTCCAGGGCTATTCCGTGCGGATGCCAGGCGATATGAGTCCAACTCATTCGGAAAAAAGCACACGCAACCCCATGTCCAGGTCATCTGCTCTCACCGTTCTGCTCCGCAAGAGCACGATTCGCACGATTCGCAGGAAGCAGTGGCAGCCTTGGGGGATGCCTGGGATTTGGCCACGCTCAAGGGCATGCGACATCTCATCGACGCCCATGGCGACCCGGATCCGCCACCCGGAAAGACTTGGAAACGGGGCGCACGGTGGGTGGACCTCCCCCCCTTCCTACTTAATTAAATAGGCGCCTACTTAATTAAGTAAGGGAGAGGTAGCTAGTAGCTTAAGTAGCTACTACTTAGGACGCAGGATAGCTCACGCTTCTTCAAGGAAGCGCTCGCACTATTCATTTGGTTCCTAGATGTTCCTAGATATTTTGGAAAACTTAAGTTTCTAATGATACCATGCCTTTGTCGGTGCTTTTCCGCCAGGCTCCAGGCCAAGTTGTTGCGGGATGCCATCCGTATCGCAAGGGCCAGAGGCTTACAGGCGCAGGGGTCTGAGATGGTCTGGGGGATGAGTGAGGACTTGTGCAGTTCGTGATTCCGTCGGAGAGGCAAAGAAAATGTCAATGCCAAGTTGCCCTGGGGTAAACGACCATTTGACACTCTTGAATGAAAAGCAGATGCAAATGCGAGCTGTTTGAAGGCGGCAGGAATGTGTCAACCAGCGGATCTGCCGATGGCCTTCTCATTTGGGTATGGCTCCACCTGGGTGTGTCTTACTAAGTTCACCGTATAGATCAAGGTTTCCGACTCTTTGATCCATCCCCGCAAGTGATTTGTTGGGATTGGCCAGGCCAGAAATCCTGTGGCTGATCTCCTGGAGAAGGGAGAGCTGCTTGGTTACTGGAGTCACTGGAGGTGAGTGAAAGAACGACAAAGGGCTGCTTAATTTTGAAATGAGAAGTTGAAACCACCAGGACCTTTGCCGGTGTTTCTTTGAAGATACCACAGAAAGAAGAGGACATCCTCATCTAACCACAGGAAGTTCAGGGAGTCTCCCCATTCCAAGGCATACCCATATTTGATCATATGTGTATACTTAGTGGTACTTGTAGTAGATAGTTGCGATACATATATGAATAGGCTCTGCAAATGATGATAGTATATACTGCACATATAGATACAGATACTTATATATCTAGTACATCTTACATGTTTTATATACCACAATTTCGAACACATTGTGTTTTTTCGTTAAGAGGTGCCAAACTGAGGCGATGGCTTTCAACCTTGGAAGCTGAGAAGGAGCTGTTGAAGGCGGTGGAGGACCAGTAATGCGGTTGGTTCCGGAGGTCCCTTAGCAGTGAAGAAAGATCGAGCAAGGCTTTTTTCCGGAAGATATTCTTAGACTCTATTTGGTGGACACTACGCTTCAAGCATGACCGTTTGCAAGTAGCGGACAGGCAATGAAAGGCAGAAGCCTGGCAAATCCCCATGAGATAGATTGCACAAAAGGTTTGAGGGTTGAACAGTTCTTATGATATGAGGGTTGAACAGTTCTTATGATATGACATGATATGACATCCAAGTTTGCCTGATGGTCACCCGCAGTCCTCCGCCACGCAGGAAGCACGACCGGATTTGAGATGGGCTTCACAAGTGAGGTGGGGAAAGTGGGTGCACCCCGCAGGGCAGGGCGGTGCTTACAGGGTGATTTGGAGGATTCATATCACATTCCACTGGTTGTTATTTTTGAGATTTTATACACGGAAAACCGTAATATGTCCTGCATCTCTAGCCATACAAGACGTTTCAAGAGAGAAGCTATAGTTTGATGAATATCAGATGGCAAGTGAAACTTCTCTGGAATGTCTTCTCCCCCAAGCTAAGAGAACAACCAACTCATGGGTGTCAATCATCATTTTTCCCTTTGCTTTGGAGAGATCAGAAAAACATGTTTGCCAACAAAAGTACTAGTACTATTAGTAAACAAGTACTTTTCTACATGGCCAACAAAAGCACTTACTAGTAGTAGTAGTAGTAGTCGTAGTCGTAGTAGTAGTAGTAGCAGTAGTAGTAGTACTAGTACTAGTACTAGTACTGGTCGTTGTTCCAATTTGTGAAGATCTTCTTGTTCCGGCGACCCGCTGGTGACGTGAGCGTCTGAGGCTCACTCAGCCGCCAGTGCTGGGGAAGTCACACGCTCAGTGGGCAGATGGCTGGTGAGACTCTGAATATCACGGGAAAAAGGTGGTCAAACTAATGAAATTGCGCCAGATGAGTACATAGTCATGTGCCTGCTATATAGGTGAGTATACTATATAATACATTGTCATGGTCCTTTGCCTTGCGATGAGGCCATGGCATGCAACCACTCAAAGCAAAGCAGCTGAAGCGCAGGCAGCGCGGCTGAGTACAGTGGAGCGGGAGCCAGGTTTTTTGAGATTCCAGCTGTAGTAACTCGCCGTAGTAACTCGCCGTAATATATAGATGATGCTTCGATCAAGTTGTTAGGATGTGCAGGGTGTCGCTGCAATTTGAACTTGGTGTTTGGCCAGTTGCTGTTCGGGCTTGAGAAAGAGCTTAGACAAGGTCAGACCAGGGATGTTGGAGAGGTAGATTTGTCATTTGCGGACTAGTCCAGATTGTTTTGAGGCAATGGTTCAAACTTCAGCGACTTGCCAGCAGGATCCTGGAAGCCCCACGGAAAAAAAGTGCTATGAGATCTCCCCTCAAGAGAGCCCAGTTTGGTTGTCCCTCATTCCGCTGATGCCAACCCGGCCCCTGGATGTGCCACGAGCCGTGCCACGCTCGCCACAGGTGCGCAGGACCGGTTGGACGCACATCGAAGGTCTAAGGGCTGCAGTGCAGGCACCGTTCCGCAGATCCTTTCAGGATTTGTTCGATGGTGGAGAGCAACATGTGTCGATTATTGAAGCAAGCAATCCGGGCGTTCGGTTCTAGAATGTTGACAAATTGTGCATAGATGTTGCTGTTGGTGTTTTTTTGCTGTCAACGAACGATGAATCAACCCGTGCATCAATGTTCAGGCAGAACGGCAGTCAGACGCAAGGAGTCCTTCTTTGTTGTAGTAGCTATATAGTGGCCAAAGCAGACTATTGGATACACACTATACTGCAAAATGCAGCGTGGCTATATCGGGTAATTGTGAAGTCCCCCATCAGCCTCTTAACAGCAATGAGTTATATACCATGCCCAAGAACTCAAGCAGTAACAAGGAAGAGAGGTGTCCAGATATTTGTTCTCAGCCAGAGTTCCTGAGCAACAAGTAAAGTCTTGCTTTTCTCATCCCAACAAAAGATCAGCATGGTTCTTCTCCATATATAGACCATGCGAAGAGTGTCCATTCAAACAATTTCGGTAGACAGCCTGGCTGCCTTTAGGCTGCAAGAGGCAGAGACATCTCCGAGTCCCACATGAATGAGGTTCGCCGTTTTTTCCTGACTTTGCTTGAGGAAAGGTTGAGGGCAGATCTCCACACTGCCCAAAGAGTGGTTTTGAAGTGTCTCAAGCTGCTCTTTTGTGCATTCTAACCACTGGAATTGCCGATGAAGGGGGTGCTTCAAAATGCCAAGTGCAAGTAATCGCGGCATGAACCCCAAGCTTGGACCAATCGCCGACACCTCCCAGCCTCCCAGTATACCTTATATTTGGGAGGTAAATCTGAAAACGGCGCAAGATACCCCTCAAAAGCTCACACCACACTCGCCCTCGTTCCGAAAGTTCGTGTCACACCTCTATTATTCTGGTGTAGATGAACAGGTTACCCACTAATAGAAACCTGATCCCCTGCAAACATTCCCATGGAGGCTCCAGGTTGGCACTGCCACCCTTGTTTTGCGAGTGCAGGGATCAGGGTTTTGCTCGCGTGCACATGAATTAATGTCATAGATTCGTGATGATTCGTGTATGATATGCAGATCAAAATGGCAAATCGAGATGGAGAGCTGAAGTTTCAGGTCGTCTTGCCCAGCAAACCGTGGATATGATTTGAGGAAAGCAGTTTGGCGGATTTTGGCGGGTATTGAACTTAGGTGCCACCCAAAGATCAACATGGAATCATCATGCATGTCACTGGTCTTGGCAAAATCCCAGAGTCATCATCTGGGCCACGAGGCCCCCTCACCTGAAATTCAGTGGTTTGAGACTAGATGGCGCAAACCCAAAAGATGATTTGTATGGACACCCAATCTTAGGGGTTGTGCCATCTACTCGGGAACCACTATAGTGATTACACTGATTACACTGTCGTTGTCCATGAGTCGCTTGCAGTCGACGTAGGCAGAGGTGCTGCTCCAGGCCCTAGTGGCACGCACTCACGAGCTGCCTGCAGACCGATGTGTGTTGGATCCCGATGGCTTCGGGGTGAAGCTGCTGCCCAGGGGCCAACACCGGGTCACTTGGCGAGATGTCTGGGAGTTTCACCTGACACGGTAGGCTACATGGTAGGCACTATGGTAGGCTTCCCCGACCACGAACCCTTTGGGTCCATCCGAGCGTCGATCGTTCGCGTTTCGTTCGCGTTCGCGAAGAGACGGTCTGCGACTGGAGGAGCACCGTCGAACACCGTCCCACTGGGTCGAAGACGGTGGTGGAACACCGGAGAGAAGGGAAGCAAGGGAAGTTGGTAAGTTGGTTTGCTTAGCCTCCAAGGATCGCAAAGAAAGCGTACCCTGGAAATGAGCAGGAAGTAGAATGAAATAGGGGCACTCTTGGACCCTGAGAAGTTATGTCTCATGGGTAAGGCAGCTTGTCTATGTTTGACCAAGAAAGCAATCTGAAGCCCTGCAATTGTGAAAGCAGTGAACTTGTGGTTGGGCTTTATACTAAGCCGAAGAAAGGGACATGTGCACAAGGTTCCAGCATTACGTATCGTTAACAATAGAACTTGGTGTTGGTTCGCTTGGTCTCCCCAGGAATCTGATAGGGTCAAAGACCTTCTTTGCGAGGTTATGACTGCCCAAGGATCTCACTGCGTTGTATTGATTGGTAGCTAGCTCCTTGTCTTTGATTCGTGGCTTTGAGGCTGTGTGGCCAGTCACAGGCGCTAGCTGCTTGCTGGTGTTTAAGAGTCTATATATATATATACTATACGACTGATCAATCATATGTTGCTCAATTCATACCCTCCATACTGATCATGGAAAGCTCAGAAGAGCTGGGCCAATCATGAGCCTCTTCGGGTTCGCTGTCCTTCTGTGCTTTGCTGTTTTCTTGCTTCGCATTCTCAGATTGCTTGTGTTCTGAGACACCCCATCCTCGATGCCCCGCGCGGTGCCCTCGATGCTTGGAGGTGATTCCTACACCTTCAACGAAGGGGCCAAGTTTGGAGGCACTATTTTTATGTTAGCCCGCTCCCCCCTCCCGAATTAAGTAGAGACTGCCTACTTAATTAAGTAAGGGAGAAGATAGTAGCCACAAGTAAGCTACTACTACCGACAGGACGCAGGATAGCTCATGCTTCTTCAAGGAAGTTCCCCCCGCCTGAGGGCGGAGGAGCTTCCCCGAAGAAGCGCTCGCGCTAATAACTTGGTTCAGATTTTGGGGGAAACTTGACGATGGCACAGTGAATTTGGATCCTCCCTGAGTTGAAGAACAAAAACAGCGTTGGGGTGTGATGTCCTACCAGCATGTAGATTGAAAAGACATGAAAGACCCATCTTGTCTCTGTAAGGAAAGGCTTTTCACTCAACAGCTAAGCAGCTTTGGAAAAGATCGGGTGGCCTGAGCCACTGATCGTGAACAACCCTGTGAAAATTGCGAAAAGAAAAGACCTTCTTTCGAACCGTAGTCGTTCGAAGTCGTTCGGCACCACACAGCCATGAAGTCGTATCTTCCACCGTCTCCACCGTCTCCCTTCACCGTCTCCCTTTCATGTTCTGGACCAACCAATCTGAAGCACCAGTGGAACTGGCTGAAGAATTCCCCAAGAAAGCCAGAACTCCACAGCCCCAACGACCGCGCGGAGGCGAAATGGGCGTGGACGTGTCGGCTCCGAAAGAGCTCCTGGGTGGGAGACCGAGCCAAAGCGAGTCCGGGTTTCGGTGGGATGGGAGACTCAAAAAGTCTTTAAGGCGTTTTGGGGTGAGCCCTGGTGCCAAACCGAAATTGGCTCACTGAATGTCGATGGTGTTCCGATTGACTCGAAGAGGAGATGAACAAATGTGTGAGAAATGTGAGGTCCAAGATTTGAATACTTACTTTGTTAGGTGGTATAAGACGTTCTACAACTCATTGATGACATCAGATGGATGGTTTGGTTATTAAAAAAAAACAAGAGACACTCACTCACATGGTCTCAAAGGAGCCAGATGCAGTGCTCGTTTCCCACACACGATTTCTTGGTTGAAGAACTGCGCGGAAATCCATTTGGCCTCCAGTTCCTGCTCCAACCTTTGTTATCCCAGTCCCTGCTGTAGCCTTTGTTGTCGTGGCCAAAGTAGTAACTATTGAGATTCTAGCCTATTAGCCTATGTTCACTTTTCAAATTGGTTGGGCTCAATCTTTCAACATGAAAGCTCACATGTCTAGGAGTCTGGGGGGTGCTTGTGACTGCAAGGAGTTGGGCTGAGTTGTCCGTTGGATAGACCCTAAGTAGAAAGGAACAAGCCACCCTCCAAACCATTTGTGTAAAGCATATGGATATTATATATATATCATACATCCGAGTCAACTCTTTAAAATCCAGTGGAAATGTCACCATTCACATGAATGTTATCACGAAAGGTAGCGGTTATGCTACCTGAGTTTTCCTTTTGCTTTAGCAAAAGTGAATTATAACCAGAGTGGAGGCCTATCTCACTGAGAATTGCCTCCGACATTTCATTTTAGTGGCCGGGCGACGGGCCCCCCTTTCAACTCCACCCTGGCGCGGCTCTTTGACAACGGTTAGAAAACACCGTAAATACTAGTGTTTTCAGCTCCTCCAGTCTTCAAGAGTGGCCTCAAACCACGCAATTTACAGGTTTTTTTGTGGCTGTCCGGCAAAATTCCTCGCAAAAACCGATGTTTTTTGAGGTGTCTAGGCTTCAAAAATTGTCGAAAATTTGCCAAAAACCAGGGAAGATTGTGTCGGAAAGTGTTTTTTCGGCTTTTCGAGGCTTCAAAATGGAAAAAGAAACGACGGTATTTACACGGTTTTGTGCACCTTCCCGGCACAAAAAATGTGTAAATATCAATTGGTTTTAAGCTATGTAGGCTTCAAAGTGCCCACAAACTCGGCTGATCCAAGCACAGAAGTTCGTCTCTCCCATACAACCTCGACTCTTTTTTCACGGTGTGCGATTTAAGGTTTGCAGTGTGGCATTTTTTGCCTCCTGGACTTCTACCAGGGTTACGTGTAATTGCCTGCTACCTTTTGTTCACCCCCTCCTCTCTCAAGTGTTACCCCGGTGTCAGTGAACATACTATGCAACTTGGCCTGCATGCTGCCAAAAGAAGTGGCCTGGTGTATAGGCCACTGTTCAGTTGATGTCAAAGCCGAACCAGATATGACATCAAGACCAACCCAAAGTTGTGAACCAAACGCCTTGCGTTGTGGTCGGCACCCAGAGAAACTGGTGAGGTGACGCGGCCACGGAAGATGCGCGGCCGGTGTGTGTTGGGGTCTGAGAGACATGCTGTGTGCACGGAGCCGATGTCGCTGACCCCCACTGACGACTCCTCCCAAATGCAGGTGCTCTTCGCTAACAAGTAGACCATTTTGCCAGATCTGTGGCCCAGCAGATGGTACGCGCAGTTCAACCATGGGATTGGTGGTTAGTCATGTTTTACAAGTTCTATATGTCTTTGGAGTTCAACTGCAAGCATCAGCTGGAGTTGACATGCTGATCCATATTGATCCGCAGCCAAGCCAGTGGATTCATTGGATTTCTTGACTTGGTAGAATTAAATTGTGATAAATTGTGTACATATGTGCACGCCAGCACAGACCAGTCATGTCCAGGAAGACATATGAGGGTTTGTGTAGAGAGGCTCCGACGAAAACCCGCATCCATGCTTCAGACTACCAAGCACCGTCTTACTGATTTGGATAGCTGGTCCCAAGCCCATTGGACCAAGCAGCCACACAATCAAACGAGCAGGTTCGTGAGCATCTTGGCCGAATCCTCGTTACAGCTGAGGCTGAGTGGGCCAAAAAATCCACCTGCAAAGCAGGACGTGATTGCCCATGGCGACACTGCAAACCACAGGCTGGGCAGTTGGAAGCGGAACCGGAACCGGCACTTGGACATGGGTGGCCGAACGGGAGGGGTCTTGCATTCTTGGCAAGATGCAACAGCTTATGACATGTGGTTCATCGAGCGATTTCAAGGGCTCTGACGTTTCAGAATGCTCCACACTGCCTTCAGAATCCACCAGCGCAGCTCCCCCTTGGGAAGAGTCAATTGCACAATCAACGCAGCCACATGTGATCCCTCCAAGCCATGATTTGGTGGCCGTTTGATTCTCCCGGGACCAAGAAAAGATTGGCATCTTGCTTGGAGCTTTCCTCAAGAAAAGCTGTGTGCAGGTGCTTCAAGCTTCATTTTATTGTCATGTTTTATTATGTTGTAGGTGCGATGACATGGACAGTTGTAGGTGCGATGACATGGATAGTGTACTGTTCAATCGAAACGGTATAAATTTGTGTCTTGGTGCATAGTATATAGTTATATAGTTACCGTATATAATATAAATCAAATGGGGAAGATACTTCCGGGATATGCTGGATCATTTATGATACTACTTGCATCCAGTCGAAGAACAGAGAATGTTGGAAATCACCCAGCTGGGAAACGTGTCTCGGGCGAGACTGCAAGGAATCCATAATAATCCATAGACCATCCAATCAATTCACTCATTTGCTGGCTTTACAAACATACCAATTGCCTATAATTGCCTTCTACTAAGCCGGTTCGCTTTGAAACCATACGACCTTCGTCGACCTTAAAACGACGCCGGGTTCGTTCGAACGGTCGCGTCGACCTCGACGGTCACCGTATGACGTTCTCACCGTCTCGACGGTCACCGGGGCCGGTCTCGGCCTTCGAGGTCGGAGACTCCATCCGAGAGTGCATACTTTTCGACATGTGAGCTGCGAGTTCCGGGTCTGGGTCAGGGGAGTCAGTTCGATCCAATCGGATCCAAAAAAAAATTACTAAAAAGGATCAACTCAGCATGTCATAGACGGCAACAGGGTAAATTCAAACGGTTTATATAAGTCTTTAGGATCTAGCTTGGGTTGCTTGCGGTGACAGACCCCATCAAGCGTGACAGTCAAGAAAAGATCTTGTCTTGATGTTTAAAGGATGTTAACAAGATATGTGCTGTATGCATTGTTCTGTCGGGAAGTTTGGAAAGTTGAATAGATCTGTGCATGGCACGAAGATTCTCGAAAACGCTTGCATAATATGTACATTTTGGGGTCCACCAAACACCAGTCAGGACATACTGCAGATGGGTAAGCTCATTTAAGTTCGACTGCCCATTCTGAGCTTCCCTACGTCCTTTTCAAAGAACTGAAGGTTCTTCCAAGATCGGACCACCTGAACGATCCTTCACGCCCGATATCTGCCGATCACGGCGAAAGTGGATGACCCAGCCCAGCCTGTTAATGACCCACACCGGACAAAGCACACCGGTCCGGTGGAGTAGTTCGGCCACGTCGCGCCTCCGTCGGCACGAAGTTGCGACTGTCTCACCTGGATGCCATCGCCATCATCGAAAGCATCCAAAAGGCGGCCGTTGCAGTGGCGATGTCGGGCATTGCAGTGCAGGGTTCTTCCTCTTCAAAGCGCGACGGGTCGCCGGATGACCCGATATAGTCTACACCAAGAGCGAGGATTGCCTTTTTATGTGTGTCCTTCTGGCATGGCGAGGTTTCTCCATGTGTTGACTTGCTTGGGCTTCGCTCTCAAGCACTTGCTTGGCAAACAGTGCTGTGGATTAAAATAGAGGAAGACGGTCGACAAGTCACCCGAGCAGAAACTATCCCTCTAACTAGCAACTCAGTTCCCAGTGTTTTGCACCATGGTCTGAAGAAAGTACTTGCGCGACTCGAGTCACGAGTCACGTTTTATTGCCAGACACAGGGTTGGCCAAGGCTGACCAGATGATCTAAAAGAAGTATCAGACTTTCTAAAGAGTGTCCTGTTTGTAGCTCTCTCGGGGCCTTTTCTGGACAGTGCTCTTTTGCATGGCCTGGGAAGCCTATGCCGCAGGCGCAGCTGGTGGAAGTGGGCAATTGGAATTGAAGCCACTCAATGTGTGTGTGTGTGTGTCACACCCTGGTTCTAAGGGCTTTCAATTGTTCACCCCTCCACTACCAGCGTCACCGTTTTTCCACTCATATGACCTCATCACAGGCAGGGGGGCAGTGGACCACTATCACTCACTGCCCAACGAAGACAGTGATAGATCGGTCGTGAAGCAATGTGGGACGCCGCATTGTGTACCTGCTGAGTTCTCCACAAGCTGTCACCCTACTTTTCCACGGTTTGATTCATGGTGCTTCATGTGATCCTTCCCCTTAAACAGGTTTCCCACCGCACTGCAGCTGCTGAACGCCGCTTCCACTTGAGCGCTTTCGAAAACATTGTTCAACAATACTTTTTGGCTGACCCATGCACCTTTCCGTTCCCTCACCTTACTTCTCAACGTGGCAATTGAGTCTAACTGAAAACCCAAGTTCGAAGTGTGACCCGCTCAGTCTTCCCACTCGGGTACTGGGTGTGATCCTCCGAAAGGAGGCGCCGAAGCCATGCCGGAATTCACTGTTCACCATTTTCATAACTGATTCCACGGTTTCCATTTTATCCCTGAATTTCCTGATTTTCGAGCCGCCGGGCTATAAACGAGGAACCACCCACTCAACGCTCCGACATTCATTCGTGTTGTGCATTGCTGCGTTTTCTCCAACTTCAATTTAATTTCCCACCCGCAGCCATTTGACCGACGATCAACGTATGCATGCTCACATCCCGGAGACTACAATGCATGCCAATTTTTCAACTTAATTAATTTTTCACTGCACACATACTGAGTTCCCGAATTCACTGCCATCCTCAAATTTAAGCTTTGGTCCACCTCTAGGCAGTGGACCACTATCACTCACTGCCCAACAAAGACAGTGATAGATCGGTCGTGAAGCAATGTGGGACGCCGCATTGTGTACCTGCTGAGTTCTCCACAAGCTGTCACCCTACTTTTCCACGGTTTGATTCATGGTGTTTCATGTGATCCTTCCCCTTAAACAGGTTTTCCACCGCACTGCAGCTGCTGAACGCCGCTTCCACTTGAGCGCTTTCGAAAACATTGTTCAACAATACTTTTTGGCTGACCCATGCACCTTTCCGTTCCCTCACCTTACTTCTCAACGTGGCAATTGAGTCTAACTGAAAACCCAAGTTCGAAGTGTGTCTGTGCGTATGTCAGAATGGGAATGAATGAACTGCGGTTGGTCCCTTCTATCATGGCAAGATATACAACCATCATCAACTCCAGATCTGGAGTTGTTTGCGTTGTCAGTGGAGCGGGGCAGCCCCAATGTGATGGTATAGCCCATCCCAAAGGCATGCTAAGTCCAACAAAAAATGTGTGGTTACTACTATCAATACATGTTGCCATCTATCGGTCCTTCAAGCCGCATGAAGCTGACGAAATTGCCCAGGGGACATCCTTCTACGTGGACTGCACGCACGAAGCTGGATCTCTGGAGCCACTTCACCTTGGGTTTAGACATGCAGATACCATCACGCTCGGACTGTGAAAGGCAAAGGCATGCGATTCATTGTGTGATTTTGGACCTCCTACAAATGCTGCATGATAGGTTTGGGGGGTGCTGATTTCTCTGTCCGTTGTACGATTGTGCGATGGTCGGAACTGGGCAGACGACGTCCAAAGTCAGAGTTCTGCACCACAACAGATTTAGACAACATCGATTCATAATCTGCATCCCTCTCAGCTCAAAGAGTTTCACCACGTCAATATCAGTGGCTCTTGGATTCATGGGTATGTCCAAATCCGCACATCTCCGAGCCATATCCGTTTCGGGCAGGTTCAGGCCGTTTCGTCACCGCACTAAACCCGCGTCAGGAGTATACTGACGGCCATGCAGAAGGTTGTACAAAGGCCGGGAAGCGCTTCAAAAGACCCTCCAACAAATCAAGATCGTGCACCTGAGTTCCTCAAGCGTTTCCAACATGCATTCAAGGAAGGATAGGGAGGGTGGTCGCACAAGACCTGATTTCTAGGATTGTTAAATGTGGTTGGTTCCAAAAACTTTATTTGGCAAGTTTCTCTATGCCCCTCGAGTACTCCCTCCAAAAGCGGTAAGGTGTAAATTGTCTCAAGTATCAAGTATTCCTTTGTAGGAGAATGTCACAACCTGGACTTATTATGTGAGATCTCGGATGAGCAGGAGGTTGACGGCCCTGACTGGTTTTGGATGTTGCGATTGTAGTGTCAGTCCGGTTGGATTTCTTCTCATTCTCAACATGTCCCATGGTTAGCCTGACAAGCCACCAGCTGGTGGGCGGGGCAGTGCGGCAGTGCGATGTTGCACTTGCAGATACATAGAGTAGCGTGTCAGCAACAATGCATCCAACGTATCATTTACACCATGAGACCAGATAGCCCGATAGACTGATACGATTTGAGCAGAGCGGAGCGGCCACAGTCCTGAAAGTGGTAGCGGCCACAAAACGGCCGCTATCAGTCCTGTGACACACAGATGTCATTTAAAAAGAACGGCCGCTTCCGATTTTCGCTGTGAGATCTACGACCTTTGGCGACATCGACGGGCCAGAATCTGAAGTGGGGGAATGCTGCTTCAGGATCGTTTTGTGGAAGAAAGGCATTTCAACTGCTGATTAAGGTCACGGATAAAGGACCTGATGTCAAAAGCTTAGTGTGATTGAACACGTGGTTGCACCATGCACTTCTTGTTGGAAAAGAGAAGATGTCTACCAACTGAGTTCGCGCCATGCTCGAACCCAGAATATATCCATGGTGCTGGATGCCCAGGGCCTTTGGGCCTTTCACAGTTGTCTCGAAGAGCAGTTGAAGCATGAAAGAAAGCTGCTTTTGATGATGTTGATGTGTGAGTTGAATACAAGTTCGTCAATCCAATCAATGTGTTCAGCTTTCGATGGAGTTTCACTCCATCGATCAAATCTTCCTGGCAGTCGCTTGGTCTCCAGTGCTGAGGTAGACACTGGCGAGTGGGCCGAGTGTTGCCGCAGCCCGTTGATGCATCCTGATGATGAACAAGGCGCACGGCCTCCGATTGATTGCGATCATACAGAGCTGGCGAATGATGTACCCATGGCGGAGTCACAGGGCGGCCGCGGTGTCCGAAACGTGTGAGACGTGTTTTCGACCTGTTGGTGGATGTCCATTGTTTTTCACGGTTCAGCAACAAATATGAAAGTCCTCTACAAATGGAGTGTGGTCCACCCTTGTTCAACAGGATGAATTTGTACCATTTGCTGGAGTGAGTACTTGAAATCAAATGAAAGGAACCAACTTGCATTGTTTCTCTCTTCCGCCAGGTCCAATGAAGAATGTCCTCAAGCTGCTGGTAGCTCTGGGACTTCGCCTTTTGACTGCAGCTCTTGTTGCGGCAGATCTTGGGCGTTGCCTGACCGAATCTGCACCCATAGTAGCCAGCTTAGTGCAGGCAAAGGCCACAAGGAGGTCTACATTTGTCAAGCCTTGAAGGTGGGCCCGTGGGACAGAACGCGGATTGGAATAGGGGAAGGCACTGTTGGGACAGCTGGGCCAAGCTGTTGGAACAAAGAACAAAGAACACATGATCTTCAGGACTCGTTCTTCTGCGGAAGCTGTTGAAGAATCAAGAGATACATCCTCACGATGTTAGCTGAATCCATGACAAGATTTGCCGCTGTGTGAAACCACGCCTCAATGTTGGAACGAATAATCTAAACGTTCAGACGAAGAGACGGAGGACACGAGGAGACGAGGTGGCTTTCGCAGCTTTGGCAGGCTGAGCACCACAACTATGCCTATGACATGGCCTCCGGGCTCGGTTGGATCAAGGCCAGGCCTGCGACCGACCGATGCCATGTGCGTGTGTGTCTTGTGTGTCTGGGTGGGGGTGTTCTCCTCAATGTTCTTAGGTTCTTGGCTTAACTTGGCTTAACTTGCAGTGTTTAACTTATCGTAAGTTGTTTGCCTGCCGATTCAAGACAGATAAAAAGAGATTGACTGTCCAACCATCAATCTGAGCTCTCACATCTCGAGGACACCTGTGGCGATTGCGGAGGGAGCGACGAGGTATGGGGAAGCACAGCTTTCGGATTTGCAGAATAAGATCAGCTTGCGCTTGTTTTGTGATAGAGCTGTATTGCTGACATTCATATACATTCATTGGTTTCGTTGATGCAAGTCGAAATCCTGTAAAGACTGGGAATCCTCGCATCAAGCGCCTCAGATTTGCCTGAAGCCGCGGGTCTTTGACATCAAGTCAACGCCACCACCAAAGAGTTTTAAGGATCGAATGATGCAGGCGGTGAGCATTTGTGTGTGGTGTTTCCTGATTTCGGATGTCCAGCGTCGTGTTTCCGTTTTGGGCCATGACAAAAGAATACAAAATAGCAACTGATATTGGTACATATTGGTACGACACAAGCAGGCTTCGTGGTGACTAGAGATTTGGGATGCCAACATGCAGATAACGGATGATAACGGACACCTGAAGGATTGATTGGCATGAAAGCTGTGGAGTGGGATTGAGCTGTGGAGTGGGATTGGGCATTTGGAGAGTTTCTGAGAGACAGAGAGAGAGAGAGAGAGTCGTGATGCTCACATTGCAGGCTGGGAAGAGCGTGGTCCGCAAGGCACGGTGCTGTAAAGACGTGACATAACAGACATGACTTGGATTTTCATGTTACCTTTCATGTGGGTGCCAGAATATGAGTGGACTCTCTGGTAGAAATCTGGAAAGAAACAGGGCTCGAACTAGCAAGTCTATACTTTGCAAGTACCTCGCATAAGAAAGAAACATAAAGAAACTCAAGGCCCATCCAAACTGGAGGAGATAACCACAACATAGAACTTTGCACAACATGCTTCCCGGCATGAGACGATGCTCGTGGATTGCACAGTTGATTGGCCTCGACCGAAACGTTTGTCTGGGCGTGGGATACAACTGGAGCTTCGGCCGCAACCCCAGCGAGTTTATTTCAGTTGTTGGCTGCGAGTTCGGGGCAAATAGTGCTGTCTCTATCTTGCTCTTGGAAATGCGCAAAAGGCAATAGACTTTTTGAATCCAGGCTTACAGTGTATGTTGCTGTGGCTCCTTTGCCCAACCTTGTTTGAAGCCCCCGATACCACCCAGAGCCTCCAGAGCTCCTCAAGAGTTTGATTTAGAATGATGTAGAAGATAATGTGATTGGTCATGTATTTAGCAACTGGGAAATTTGGCCCTGCGGGGAGCATGTTTATGAACAAGAAAAGTCCTCATCCCAAACCCGGTAGCAGATCAATGCAGATGCTTGTGGGGCTCGTAGCCTCATGGCACATCCGGGGATGGAGAAAGCACATACTGTAATTACAAGGAATCCCAGGCAGGCCCGTTTGCAGCTTTTGTGGCACAAAGAGTGCGAACCTGGTGGAAGTTTGTTCATACATAAGCCCCAACTCATCACTCAACCACATAAGCCACAACAGCCACAACGAAGTTGAAGAAGAGTTGTTCAATTTGGTCTTCACTAATCTTCACGGCCTCACGGCATGAAAGGCATGTAGGCTGTGGAGTTGGGAATCGGACGAAATCAGGGCAGATCAGCTTGGCAGATCGGTTGATGTCACGGCATAACTGGCATTGCTCCCGCCCTGTGCCACTGGCAGGGCTGCAAATATCTCTGTTGCTAAGAATAGCATGTTCGTTCCTCTTTCTCCCGAGGCCGGATTGCTCCTGGGCTCATTGACATGGTGAAATCCCTGCCGTGGGGAGACAAGCGGAAGGCACACCGTGGCTAGACAAAAGCGCTTGCTTACTATAAAATGTTTGCTGTTGCAAAAGATTGGTCACCCAGCATTCCATGGATTCCAGTTGAAGCTAGCCAAGGCTAGGGTTTGGGACAACCCACTGGGATGACCAAAAAGATCGGAAGATCCCTCACCTGTTGGTGCTGTGGCCACACCATGTGAGCAGGTTTACTACATCAACGCAGCTGCATCGTTCGCGTGGCCATTGCTACCACATGATCTTCAAGAGGCCAGACAAGGAAACATGTTAAAGTTGCTCAAAGGCTTTTCGCTTTTTTCTTGAGATCGTTCGCTTTCCTGTGCAGGATGTGGAAGCTCGGACCTGCATTCGAAGACAAAGATATCTTCACGACTTCCTTTGAAGAGGGCTGGCAAAATAGTAACCGTTTGCTCGAGTTGGAACTGATATGAATTGATATGAACCTTCAAGCCATGCAGGCGATGCAGAAATCACCATGAGCATCGTTTGCCGAAGCCCTGCCACAGGTTCATTCGTCCCAGACGTTTTCGGTTCGCTTTCAGGACAGGTCGGTATCAGGCATTCGAAATATCCAATCGCAACATGCAACACATTGAAGACGATCTTTTCACGTTATTGTACCCACAGATATGATATCATCGCGTTTGATCTATTATTTGATATTAATACCTCGTCCTTGGATAATATATCATAATAAAATCAAATAATCGAAGAATGTACGAATTAAAAAATATCAATGATTTATATATTTATTATAATAATATAGATATATAAAATTAATATATTATTTAACTTTATTAATTTCAAATATGAATGTTTTTTTAAAAAAAATAAATATATATAAATATATATATCGATTTGTATTAATTGAATTGGATATAATAATGAATGCCGATTTTCGATCTATTTAAATATATTTAAATATATGTGGATATAGATATTGATTTAGAATTATATTTTATTTAGGAAGATTATTTTTTCGATTTTGGGAATTTTAATATTTAATATATTATTATTAATCGATATTTTGTATTTTTGTTGTCTTTTTTATTTATTTGTTTATTTGATTTTTTATCTTATTGGTTTTTATAGGTATTTTCGCTAATTAGGAATTTCGTTTGATTATGTTTTGGGTTGGGAGGAGGTTCGAGGATATAGATAAAGGATATATGAATTAGAAGATTGATTTAGGGGTTAATTTAAGCTTTAAATTGAATAAGGAATATTAATCACGAAAGGTAGTTTGGTAAGGACTACCTTGAATTTGCTTTGCGAAGGAAAGGGATTGGCTTGAGAGCTTGCTCGGAACTAAAGATTGGTAGATCAATGTCTAACTCCCCCCCCCCTTTCCCATGTTATGAATGATTGATAAATTAATTGATTCGACCTCCCTCTCCCCCCCTTTCCCCTCCCCTCCCCGTCTCCTCCCCTCGTCGCCAACACTACTAAATTGGGGACATGAGGTGATTCGACCTCCCTCCTCCCCTTTCCCCTCCCTTCCCCGTCTCCTCCCCTCGTCGCCAACACTACTAAATTGGGGACACAAGGTGAAGTCATGCGCTTAATAGTCACAGACGCTGGCCATGAGGTTGCGCAATACAGCACGAACCCTGCGCAATGGGGTCACGCAATGCAGCTTCGATGCCGCGCGCGCGCCCGGGAGCCTAACACAATGCGTACTGCATTCACAGACCATATTGCTCGATACTCACGAGCATCGATGCAACGCAGCCTCTTTGCAGTGGAGAAACCCCTCGCGTCGCGGAACACCATTCGATTCAGCCTTATACCCTAGCGTGGCGAAATCTTACCGCATCGTGGAGCACACCCACCATAGCGTGATGTCCATCCCTGGCAGTACCGGCCGCACCCCTCCAGCACTATCCTTACAAGGGGGTTGGTCATTGAGTCACTGCGGCTTCGACGCAATGCGTGCAGGCCTGTAATCCCGACACAGTGCGTGCAGCTGTGGGACCATAGCTGGCACACATGCGAGCGTTTACGCATTGCGACTTTTACGCGCGCCTGTTTTCACACACCTAGACACAAACGAGCGTCGACGCAACGCAGCCTCTCTGCAGAGCCGTGTGGCGCAATCTGACCGCAACGGAGTTCCTCTTGAGCCTTCTAATGCCTTCTTGTGCTCTCTGGCTTTGTTGGTTTCATCCATGATTGACCAAGGGCACGTTCCTGAAACACCGGAGACAGTCCCTCACCAGAAAAGGTCCCGACAGCTACTCGGTCCGTCTCTACCTTTCGTGTTTCCCCGCTCAAGTTTATTAGGTTTTTGATGATTCGATTGCGGAGGAGGATTCGGTATCGGCTTTAATGATTACGATGGATTTATTTAGTAGATTTTTTTTTGGTATTTGATGGATATTTGTAAGGCTTTATATGGGGACTAGTATGGGAAGTAGTATAGGGCCGAACGGGCTTGGGAAGAGGATATTTGGGTCCGTCGTATTATTAGGAAGAGGATTTCTAAGTCTAGAGCATATTTTGCTATTGATTTGGTAGCTACCACTTACGTGGTCCTTTAAATTCCAGGATTTTCATCTTTTATTAGGTTCAACAAATACATAGATTTGCATCGCCTCGTGGCACCTCGCAGACTCAGTAGAGCCTGTGTGTCACGGTTTTCCCTCTTATATTTAAGCGAGGATCTATTGCGAGGCCGCCGGCTTCGAGTATCCTCCTTTGCACAAATGAAATTGATTTCAGATCATGTGGTCGACGAGGATGACACCCTACCTCTTTTATTTCGGTGGGACCATGGAGGAGGAGAAGGAATCGAACCTGGCCAGGTTCTTAGCTTCTGATATATTATAATGAGGAGGTCTAGAGGATTTCTAATTTGCTTTACCAGCCGCTGCCATAGAGGAGGAGGTTTTGACATATAGTATGGCTCAAGAAGGAGGCGAAGATATTCTGGTTGATTTTTTAACATCCTTTGCATTCCGGCAGTTGTTGCAAATACATTGAGGTCTTTCCAGGACATAAAGGAAATTCTAGTAATTTTGGTGATGGATATGAGCCATCCCGCGATCGTTTATTTGCTTAGCGTCCTATCTGGCGGAGATGGATTGGATCTATATATCGTTCCCTTCTACGAGTGGGATTTCTTGGTCAGGCCTGCCCCACTTCGTTTGTTGGAGTAGGTCAAGGCTTGACTAACCATAAATTAATTAGAATGGTGGGTTTTCTACCTAGCTGCCGAGGAGGAGTTGCCGACAGGCCAAGCAGCAACCAAGGATATGTGGAAAAGATTTAGCCAACTGAAGTGAAGATAGGAAAAGCAGATCGATTGGCAGGTGATCAATTATTAATCTATAAACGCCTCATAATGCAATTGCGTTAGCCAACCCACTTGATTATGCTGGAATTCTCGTATTGGGTGAGCGCTTTGGCATAGAAGGTCGGAACAACATGTGGCGAGGACCTAAATAATGCCAACCAATTGCTAGTGGCCATGACGAAGGCTGCAGCAGAGGGTGGAGTAGAGATCATGCTCCATGCAATGCCGGGAGAAGCTTTATTTGGGTCGTTTTTCGACGCCAGCCTTGGAAAGAGTGAGGCCATGACGGCCCAGCAGGCTGAGGTCCATTTCCTGACGGGAATGGATATAAAGAAGAATTCCATCAAGACTAATTTGTTGGAATTTCACAGCAACAAAGTACACCGTGTGGTGCGCTCAAATCTAGCAGTTGAGAGCTTCGTCATGACCTCCGCGGCTGACAAGATCCTCTACAACCGAGCTTTATTTGGAGCCCTCTTTCATGGGCAGGAGGTGGTTGCACCACAATGGAGGCAAGAATTGATGATGGGAGATATCATCATCCCAGACGCCAAGGATCTTAATGACCATGTAAATAAAATTGGCAATATGGCCAATGAGAAGTTGGCAGCGGTTGATATATTGATGGCGAAGCATCTTGCGAAGGACTAAATATTCCGTTTTCGTTAAATCCCCACCTAGAAATAGGTAGCAGATCCTTTGACAAAGAATATGTCCATTAAATTTTTGAAGCAATTCCGACAAATTGGAAAATTTTACTTAATAGAAACAAAGGAGGACTAAATGGAAGAAGTTCCAATACAGAAAGAGAAACGTAAGCAACGTATGGTTCGAGCAAAACATTCATTTCCTTTAAGATGAAAAATATATAATTGTTAATATTTGATATTTTCCTTGCTACATAAACGTTATTTATAAACGCCACCGCATTTATATACAGAACATTAATATTAACCAACTTACAAATAATGCATTTTGCTTCTATTTTTTCGCTATATCCGCATACACATTCATTTGTATGCGCCTTAATTCTTTTGCGCTTATATTCCTAAAATTAATCTTAAAAATTCGCCTCCCATACCTATTTCCTTTCGAATCCTCTATATCCAATATCTCAATAATTTCCAAATACCTTCATAATTTTAATATTATATTATTCGGCATCATTTATATCATTTGCGCCACCAAATCCATATCTTCATTCCTTTTCGGACCATCGCTTTGGAATGCTTCCCCCCCAAGCTCTACATCCACCCGATTAAAAAACCCTTCTCAACGACCACCCCACCCCATGATCCCTTAATTTATTTCGTTCGTCCTAAAAACTCAAACCTAGCCTATCGACTAACTTTCATATTCATTTATTCATTTATGTAATCAAAAAACGTCTATAAATAATAATTATTGTAATATATAATTAGCAATTCGCACCTCTTCTCTTTCCTTGCCTTGCTGACCTTTTAGGTGTTCCACCACCCGCAATTTTCCCATTTGTCGGGTCTGACCTTCCAACAAAAAAGAACGTACAGGTACATCACGAGTGGGATCGTCTGAAGGGTTGAGCCTTGCAGCATACACAGCAAAAGCCAGGGAGATTGTTATTAGCTTTCGAAGCAAAGGCGCTAGTGCACGGGAGGAAGATCTGCCCTTCACTGATGCTCTGAGTGCCACGAAGGAGTCAGGGAGGAAGTTGAACCTGCCCCCCCCTCTCTTGCTGCTTTCTTGTAGGCCTGAAAAAGGCTGCACTTCAAGAGGCACAAACAAAAGAAAATCATCCTGTTGCCAAATCATACCTTGGGGAGCTTCTGGTTGAAGCCTCGAGGCACCCTGCAGGATCTAACCATCGCATAGGCAATTGGAGAAAAAATTGTGCACGGTGGTTCTAGCATCAATGAACGGAACCGGTCCTCCTTGATGAGAAATATCAGCCATTCCAAGGTGCGAAGCTTTGTCATATCATAGTGGTGAGAACAGTTGATGTCAATGATGGGGTCAACTACGTAGCCCAGCTCTGCCAGGGCAGCAGAAATAACGCCGTTGCCACCACAGACCTCAATGAAGTCATACTTCTGGGCCAAGGGGCGCTCAACCGATGCTGG